TATCTTTTATATATTATTTGTGTTCCCTTGTCTGATGTGTCATGTTGACTTCTGCTGAGTGGCTCCTCATTTACCTTGGGTTTTGCAGATCGAGGAGCCCCACAATTCTATAGTGCCTGCTCAGCCTCTTCACTTCAGTGCTTCTGAGCCACCCTTCCGAGCCAGAGACCGTTCACGTCACGCCTGAAGAGTCAGAGACTGTTCACGTCAGTCCTTCCAAACCAAAGAGCGCTCGCGTCACATCTGAAGAGCCAGAGAGCGCTTGCGTCACGTTTGAAGAGCCAGAACCAGAGAGCGCCCGTGTCACGTCTGAAGAGTCAGAGAGCACTCGCGTCACGTCTGAAGAGCCAGAGACTGTTCACGTCAGTCCTTCCAAACCAAAGAGCGCTCGCGTCACATCTGAAGAGCCAGAGAGCGCTTGCGTCACGTTTGAAGAGCCAGAACCAGAGAGCGCCCGTGTCACGTCTGAAGAGCCAGAACCAGAGAGCGCCCGTGTCATGTCTGAAGAGCCAGAACCAGAGAGCGCCCGTGTCACGTCTGAAGAGTCAGAGAGCACTCGCGTCACGTCTGAAGAGCCAGAGACTGTTCACGTCAGTCCTTCCAAACCAAAGAGCGCTCGCGTCACATCTGAAGAGCCAGAGAGCGCTTGCGTCACGTTTGAAGAGCCAGAACCAGAGAGCGCCCGTGTCACGTCTGAAGAGCCAGAACCAGAGAGCGCCCGTGTCATGTCTGAAGAGCCAGAACCAGGGAGCGCCCGTGTCATGTCTGAAGAGCCAGAGACTGTTCACGTCAGTCCTTCCAAACCAAAGAGCGCTCGCGTCACATCTGAAGAGCCAGAGAGCGCTTGCGTCACGTTTGAAGAGCCAGAACCAGAGAGCGCCCGTGTCACGTCTGAAGAGCCAGAACCAGGGAGCGCCCGTGTCATGTCTGAAGAGCCAGAGAGCGCTCGCGTCACGTCTGAAGAGCCATTGCCAGAGAGTGCTCACGTTGCGTCTGAAGAGCCAAAACCAGAGAACACTTGCGTCACGGCTGAAGAGCCAGAGAGCGCTTGCGTCACGTTTGAAGAGCCAGAACCAGAGAGCGCCCGTGTCACGTCTGAAGAGCCAGAACCAGGGAGCGCCCGTGTCACGTCTGAAGAGCCAGAGAGCGCTCGCGTCACGTCTGAAGAGCCATTGCCAGAGAGTGCTCCCGTTGCGTCTGAAGAGCCAAAACCAGAGAACACTCGCGTCACGGCTGAAGAGCCAGAGAGCGTTTGCGTCACGCCTCAAGAGCCAGAGAGCGCTCACAACATGCCTGAAGAGCCAGAGCCAGAGAGCGCTGGCGTCGCGTCTGAAGAGGCAGAGACAGAGACTGTTCACATCGCACCTGAAGAGCCAGAGAGCGCTCGCGTCACGCCTAAAGAGCCAGAGACTGTTTGCATCGTGCCTGAAGAGCCAGAGACTGTTTACATCGTGCCTGAAGAGCCAGAGAGCGCTCGCGTCACGCCTGAAGAGCCAGAGCCAGAGAGCGCTGGCGTCGCGTCTGAAGAGGCAGAGACAGAGACTATTCACATCACGCCTTAAGAGCCAGAGACCGTTCACATCGCACCTGAAGAGCCAGAGAGCGCTCGTGTCACGTCTGAAGAGCCAGAGCCAGAGATCATTCGCTTCACGCCTTAAGAGCCAGAGACCATGAGACCATTTGCGGCGCACCTGAAGAGCCATAGACCGTTCATGTCACGCCTGAAGAGCCAGAGCCAGAGAGCGCTCGCCACCATCCCTCCCCCAAGACCGCCCTCTGGGACTTTGTTTTATGTTTCATGTTCCTGTTTCATGTCTGTCATGTGATCCCCTGTTCAAGTCATGTGTTCCCTTGTCAAGTCAAGTCAAGTCAAGTCACATTTATTTATATAGCGCTTTTCACAATACAGATTGGATCAAAGCAGCTTCACAGTGATAACATGAAAGTAGTACAACACAGATCAATAATACTGCTAAACACTAAATAACCCCAACTGAGCAAGCCAAAAGCAAGCCAAAAGCAAGGCGACAGTGGCAAGGAACCAAAACTCCATCAGATTGGATGGAGAAAAAACCTTGGGAGAACCCAGGCTTGTCTGATGTGTCATTCTGCCATTGGTTCATTGTTTCATTGTTCACAGGTGTCCCTTGTCATTAGTCTTGTGTATTTAAGCCCTCATGTTTGCCGTGTGTCTTTAAGTTTTGTTCCACAGTTGTTAAGTGTCACATTCATGTTTTTGAGTTCATGCCACAGCATGTTTTTTTTGTTTGTTTTTTGATCTTATGTTTGCAAATAAACTGCACTTGTTGGGTTCTCTCTACTTGCCTTCAGTGGAATACTTTATACATGTTGTATTGTACAGTCATACCACGTAGGACTTTATGTTAGGTGATGCCCCGGGACACAGTAATGTTTAATTTTTTTTAGATATTAATGATACACCAAAGAAATCACATCTTCCTCTAAACACCCACGTGCAATTTCTCATGCCAGTGAATATTTCAGTCTGTACTCACACACTGACTCACTCAGATCATGCTCATACTTTTTATACCTGTTTGTCTGCCTTTTTAATGCTGATTTGTCTCACTGCCTCACGCATACTTTATATCATACTCTGGTCTGATATAGTCACTTTGTCAGTGTGTGGGAGGTCCTTTGAGGAAATGAGGATAAACTTTCTAAATTAGCAGTCTCGAAAGACCAGATCAGAGAAGCGAAGTCCTGATAGAACTGAGGACCTGCCAGTCTGAATCAAAAGACTTTTAAATAAACAAGCATCCTGAAACAGTCATTCTCTGATCTTATTGTGCAATTCTTGGAGGGATTTCATCTCCCTCACTCTCTCTTCACCTTTACCAACAATTGTCACCTTGAATGAGGCTGATGGGAATGTGTGTGGGCGTCGTGCGTCAGGAATCGGATATCTATCCATAGGATAAATTGGCTCTAATCGTATCATTAAATGAGTTCATGGTGAAAGGCAGTAATTGTTTGGGGGGGGGTAACGAGTAAGCCTTGCTTAAAATGCGTTTGAAGACGATAGTACCACCTCACAAGGCTCTTGCAAATCATAATAGAGGTTGGCAGGATGTTTAAAAGATGGAACTTACAGACATCTCCCCCTGCATTGGGTGTGACCGTCTGACATGCCTGGGGTTCCCATACAATTATCGGTAATGGTTAGGAGATGCTTAATCCTGAAAATGTATCTGAAAAAAATATCAGTATTAAACTTCAAAGGAAAAGGTCAAGACATTTAAAACTTGTAGATGAAAACTCATTTTCTATGAATAACTTAATCTGTCTGACAGTATCAGATATTAATTTGCAATATTTCTAATCTTCGACATCATATATTATCTGTTTTATCAAGTTACTATTTTTGGCGGGTATTTTGTGATTGTGTGATATGCATTGTGTGATATGAATTCAGTGGCTAATCTCTTCTAAATCAACTGTTTGTGTTTGCATGAATTTTTTTTTTTTTTTTTTTGGCATGATAAATGCACATGACAGCACTGTGTGCAACCCAGTCATATTAGGATTCAATTCCATTGAGTCAAACAGCAGAGCAAAAAATACTCTTCAAATAGATGGGCTGCTGGCTATACTGCTATGGTACAAAGTTGGCCATTCCTTTTATTGATTTAGATAAATCCCAGATGTATGGAAAAGATCTTTATTATTAGTTTTAACCAGGTTATTCAAGTCCAGTCCAATGTTCGTTATTTCTTGTCCTTCAATTTCTATTAGGTGTGCGGATTCTGCGGAACCGACCAAACTCTAATCTAACTCACTGCATGACAACCTGCACCCCAAAAGCTGAAGTCAGAACTACTGTCACAGTGAATCACAAGCTTTACTGGACTCAGCTAAATTATTTAATGCCATGATACAGTATGTGAACTCAGTTCAGCCCACAGCCAAGAAAGAGAAAATCAGAAACTGCTCTCTAAAATATGTCAGAAGAAACTGTTGAACTCACAGCATTTAATTATGAAAATTAAAATGTTGCTTAAATTGTTCTTTTTTACTCTCTTCTTTCATTTACATATTTGTGATTAACCTGCTGCTTCTTACAAGTTAGAAGGCAAATTATGGAGTATACCGCCCCCTATAGGGCTACAGGAAAATACATTTTAAAATAAAGACGCCTGAAAAAAATAAATAATACATAGTACTGAAAATATTGTAAAATAATAAAAATTAATTTCAGACACCTGATTTAAGCAACACACTCACATAAGAATCTTAACTATATAGGTCTATTATTGGGCCTTGGCTGGTCAATAATCTGGTCAACTGCTCAGGTCCACTTTGATATAAATATTATAAAATGTTTTACAATAGAAAATGTTAGAGACATGTAATTGTTAAAGGCAGTGTTGTTTTAGTATCCTTGTTTTATAGGAGTTTTAACATTTTTATATATATTTTTAAAATATGTTTTTATTTTTTAGATTTTATTTTTATATTTTGTTTTTGACATTTTTTAATTATTTTTTGTTTTAAAATATATAGTCTATAGTTTTACTGTATTTAGTTTTATTAATTTCAGTACTTTTGCTTAAACTAAAGAGCAATGAGAAATGTTGCCTTAGCAATAGCTGAAACGAAATAAGTTTTAAGTTTTTTATATTTTTATTTTCATTAATGTTTATTTTATTTCAATTATTTAAATGCACTTAATGTTTAAGTTAATAATAGAAGGGCTGCAGGAGATATGTTTTATGTTAACGGAGCAGGACTTTGAGTAACTTCTCAATTAGAGGTCAAATGTCTAATGGCACAATTCATCTGTTTGGGAAAGGATTTTCCCAGTATCAGAATCACCTCAGTGTGAAGTCGTAGCCTTTTTTTTTTTTTCAATTGAGCAGGCATGTTTGTTCTCATTGGCATAACTGTCCTCCCGCATAAACTGCAGCGTTGGATGAATTAACTGCCACAAACTTCATCAGGTTTGGCTACTGTTTGTCTGCCGCATGTAGGCTAATTTAGAACATTATAAGGATAAATAGTCAATGTGTTTTCCCCTTAAATGTTCATGTTTGAGCAGTGCTCTTTTAAATAGGCCTATGTGCTGATATGTAGCCCAACCTGTCAGTCTTTCTCTTTTGTAATGCTCATTTGTTCTCATTGCTGGAGCGGATGTCTCGCCTCCTCGTGAATTAACAAAAGCTTTGAGAGGGTATCCCAGCATCGCCCGGCTGTCTCCCGGGGAAACGTCCTGGGTAAACAAGAGCGAATCTCCGCGCAACCGGGCGTCAGCAGCAGCAGCAGCCGCAGCCCAGGCTCTTGTTGTGATTGCTTGCGCGCGCGACACGTCCATCCACCTTAGACCAACACAGAGCTCTATTCCAAAAAGAAAGTCTATTACATTGAGTCAATGTTGAGTTGATTTTAAAAGTCAATTGGCTAAATAGGTTAAATGAACTTTACAGTGGCTTAAACTTGTTTGGTTGACAAGCTCAAGGTCTGTGAGTGATGGACAGAAAAGGAAACACGCGGCGCGCCACTTCGGCTGGGTACCGTTTACCGGACCGACCAAACGGTCCCCTCGCCTCTCAGTCCTCGGTCTCAGTGTTTAGGAATTCAGCGGGCAGGACACGAAACACCGGTGACATACCGACGCAAGGCGATGATACCCGAGACCCGGTAAAACAAGACCAGGTTTGGAAAGAGTTTGTGCGCGCGGAGCGAACCGGTATGAAAGAATGGTAAGAACGATGATTTAATTCACTTTCAGTGGAGTTGCATGTTTGTTACTCACTTTCCCTGGAGTTACGTTACTAATCTTTTCTTTCCCCTCTTAAATGTGCCATTGTTTGACCCGTTATTTGATACGGGATAGATTGTGGTTGACCAGGCGCCCCCTGGACGGTGTGCGTTACGGTTACGCATCCTCTTTACCAAATAAATATAGCCTAGGCTACACCGCCGTGGTTACATACACAAAACCACCATCATATATAGGCTAATAAAACGATGATGATTTCGCTTCTAAATCGTGTCGTCTGGAGAGATAGGTAGGCTTAGGCCTTTATATAAATACCGCGTTGTAAATTCTTGGTTGTTTTATGACAGGGAGAAGAACTGGAGTTTCCTCATGAACTTTGACCAGCTGGTAAGAAACCCTCTATCAGTGATGCTCTCTGTCTCTGGCAATAATACAGATCTGTTGCTGATAAGTTTCACTTTTTTTTTTTTTTTTTTTTTTTTTTTTTTAGAATGTAATGTTAAAATGTAAATATAGTTTACACTAGTTTTCAAAAGTTTGGAGTCAGTAAGTTAAAAATAAATAAATAGAAATAAGCTACTTTTATTCAGCAATGTAAATTGATCCGAAGTGACAGTATAAATATTTGTTACAGAAGATTTATTTAAAAATATTGCTGTTCTTTTAAACTTTTTATCCATCAATGAATTCTGGATTTTTCAATAACTTTTCTTTTTCCACTAAATTTTTTTGCTGTCCAATGTTTTCAACATTAATAAGAAATTGTTATTAAGCTCCAAATCACCACATAACTGTTTTTACTGCATTTTAAATGAACAAAAATCAATAAATAAATAAATACAATTTAAAAAAAGAAAACGCAGCTTTGGTGAGCCTTTGAGACTTCTTTCAAAAAAAATCGGCATCTTTTGGTTGAAAAAAGTTATTTTCACTTTCTCATTCATGGCAGTGTTTTGGTGTGTTCATTCTGTTCCTAGTTCATGGTTTTCATGTTTGATATGTTTATTTTACTGTTATATAGTTTATGATACTGTAATTATATTAACTCAAAAAACGAGGGAGAGCTGAATCCAAATGCATTTATTTTATTAACAAATAAATAAACATAAACAAATTAATAATAAAAACATGGCGAATATTTTCATGGTCAGATTCATGATGTTCAGTTTCAAATGTTGTTCTTGTTACATTAGTTGTATTACCCTTGTCAACCTCACAGGGTCATCAGCGTACAGAAACTTCTCTCCCCAGCTCTGGGTCTTTATATTCAGATAGAGTTCCAAACACCAGTAACCAAATGTTCGGCAGCGGCCTGTACACCGAGTTGGGCAAGGAGATGATTCGCCTGGACAACCTGCTAATCCTGACAGCAAACCACCGCAAGGCCAAAAGGAATCCAGAGATGCAGCCCTGCTGAGGTTTAGCAGACACAAGATCTTAAAAACACTGTAGCAGAGATTTGATCCCTTCTCTTATCTTGATTTTATACTCAAGAGTGTTCAGTGGGTAGCAGTTTGTCTTTTGGATGCATATTTGGATGTGTATGTGTCTTTGCAGTATGTTTTGGCAGTGTATCGAGAGCTTTTTTATTAGATTTTGTGTTGACATTATGCATCTCTCTGAGTATAGGCTACTATGCTGGTGGACGCAGTAAAGATGACCCTTAGAATAGACTATGTGCGTATTCATTTTTTTAGATGAACACTTTTCAGTGTTTGCAAATTAGTTTCAGATTTGAATTAAAACTATTTTGTCAGAGATGTGGTATATTTTTCTGTACTCTGTATTTTTTCTCTCAAGAGAAAAAGAGGCATTAGATGTGTTAGTTAATTCTTCACAGTTAAGTTTACATATAATCAGCCAATTCAGATATGTTATCCATAAAACATTAGGAGGAATAGAACTGGAATATTTTGCCAAGACCTATTACATTTATAATGTTTTAAAAAAGCTTGCCAAATTATAATCTAATAAAGGTTTTCTCATTTTAAACAGGTTACTGTGTGCCTTCTTTTTGGTTCTGAAGGTGTGATCATCACCGTCATTAATATTAATACACATTAATATTTTTCATATATATATATATATATATATATATATATATATATATATATATATTTGTCATAAACATTTATATATTTTCCTGTTTTTTTTTTTCTTTGAAGTTTGAAAGAAAGAGGGGTGTAGATGAGATATGGGAAATGGCACAGGCCAGATCATCAGCTCAGGAACAGTTCGAACTTTTATTTGTATTTTCTAGTAGTTTGATGCATAATAATTGCAACTGAGTTGAAATTTGAGGGAGGTTAGGAATTCAGAAAATAGCAGGTCAGTTTAACCATTCTTGTGAGACCATTCAGGTAATATTAGTAGAGCCAGGTTAGCCTATTTATTGTATGTGCCATTAGAGATAAAACCATAGACTGGACAAAACGCACCCTCTAGTGGAAGAATTTGTCCTCAATTTGTATCAACAAGTGAACATTACCTCAGAATGTACTTGCACCTACAAGAGGTTGCTCATTGGGAAGTTTTTTGGTTCTTCAGTGTTCCCTCGCGCAGTTTTTGTTACAGACCCACAAATGAGGCGTCAAAGCGATTAGCTCTGAGCGATGATTACGCAGAAAGATGTAATTTATCACATTTGAAGAGGCTGACAGGCTCTGTAAGAACATACCTCACAATGGGGTAAAAGTTGCACCCCTGGGGGCAGGAGCTGCCCAAAGTTGCTCCACTGGCTAACTATGGTGAAGGACGGCCCATGAAGTGCATGTGTTTTTCCTGGTAAATTGCAAAGGGATTTTGTATTGAACATATCTGGATCACAATGTCATAGAGACAAGGGGGCAGGCTCATTTTACTCAGATGACCAATCAGTCTCTCAGGATCGCTGTGAAGCTATCAAGCCACAAGCTAGCAACCATTGTTGAGCACCGTAGCAACCAAAATTCAAAGAGGGATGTCTTCCATTCTGAATTCAACAGAGGCATGGCAGTTGGTTTATATCATTCATAGTGACAAGAAGCCTTTCACTGGCAGCTGCCAAGAACCAAACAGAGTACCCTAGTAACCATTTTGAGAGACCTAAATCTCTGCATCGAAACATCTTATAGAGATGGGGGTTGGTTTCATTCACACTGACATTCAGTCTTTGGAGCTTCACGATTGGCAGCTGCCAAGCCACTTCCTAGCAACCAAAGAGAGTACCCTAGCAACCATTTCACAAGACTTATATCTCTGCATCAGAACATCGTATAGTATAGAGATGGGGGTTGGCTCTTTTGACCCATGCTAGCAAACAGGACTTCCAACATGCTACACATGCTAGTGTGAATGTGACTAGCTACATGCTAATAGCAATAAGGTAAGTGCTAAATCATGCCAAGAAAATGTAAAGGACTCCAATAGTAAACATCTGTTACTATTGCAACTACATAGTAACTCCATGACAACCACCCAAAATACTCTAGCAACCGCCAAGCAATACCCTAGCAACTGCTTAGCAAACACCCAGAACACCCTAGCAACTGCCTAGCAACACCATAGCAACCACCAAGCTAGCAAGAATACCCTGGCAACACCATATCAACCATAGATAACTCCCTTGCAAACGACTAGCAAAGCCCTAGCAACCACCCAGAATACCCTAGCAACACCATATCAACCACCCAGAACACCCTAGCAACCGCTTTGCAACCACTGGACACATGAATAAGCCACATCTCAGCACCAGAACATTGTACAGACATGTTTGTTGGCTCGTATGGAATCATGAACCACACAATAGCAAGAGGGTGATGAGATTTGCCACTGCAAGCACCAGTTCATATTCTCTTCTGGAAATGTACATTCTAGTTTAAGACCACAATCACAAAGGACTCTACAATTTTGATGGACGAGTTGTTTATGAATAAGCCAAAAGGCCATTAGTGGAGACCTAACACGGCATGTTAATTTAATTTGAAAATCTATGCAATTCTTACTTACATTCACCAAATAAATACATTTTAATGTATTAAACATAATTAACTAAAAAGGCAATTTACAATGTACATCATTGAAGGAACATTCACTGTGAATTCAACTTTTCAGTCATCTCACATTTTATACTACTTAATTGACTTCTGGGATGACATGTGACAAAAGCCGAGTAATTATGTGATTCTTCTGAGGTAGGCTTGAGAGTGTTATCCACATATTTGCATTCTCCAGTCATACTCCTGCTTCATCGACGAGACAAACAGAATTGGCCGGGGCTCATGGGTAAAGACCATAGACTGTAAAAGGGTAAAGACCTATGGTATAAACTGCTGTTATCGTCGACGTTGGTGATGGATTCATTTAAGCGGATCGGCTCTTTTGAACAACTCATTCCAAAGAATTGTTTACAAAGATGATTCTGCAATTCGTTCACGTCATGACGCGAACGCGAATCACGTGATCCTTGAGATCCCAGCATGGCAACGGTAAAGCTTTATTTAAGGCACATTATGCTGTTTACCTTTTAATTCCGTGATTTAGAACTTGAATCAATTAGTCGCTAATTTGAGAAGTTCCGCTCACATGAATCGCTTGTTTGAGCCGGATCAAATGATTCATTTAAATGATCCGAGTCAAAAGAACGATTCGCTCACGGATCGGACATAACGAACTCGAGGCTCGAGCTGCCTGCTGGAATACAGAGGAACTAATCCGCGGAACTGGCGCGAGCGAGCGACCTGCGGAGACTCTTTAGGAAAGCGCTTGTCTATTACTTTACAAAATTAACTTTATAAGACTTATACACATAAAACGCGCTGGTTCCGTTTCACGTCGCAGTTAAGTGTGTTGCAGGAATGCGTTGGAGTTTGTTCGACTCCAACAGATGCTCGCCTTTGAACAACAGCAGCGTTGTTTATGAACTGGGGAAGATTTGAAGTCAGGCTCAGCCAGTCCGGAGCGTCTGGGAGAGGGGAGAGAGAGAGGAGACGAGGGGAGGGAGGAGAAAGAGAGATAGAGAGAGCGAGAGAGGCGGAGAGGAGAGGGGCGCCCAGAAAACGCCCTGCTGCCGAATCCTCTCAAAATTAAAACTTTATCGCGCCATTGACGGTACGCTCACATGAAAGGATGAGAAGTTACATCCCGCTCAGTTTTTAAAAGTAACCATTTAACAGACTGTTTTGAGGGGAAGTTTGGAAAACCTCAGTTGTTCCCATTGGATTATTTTTTTTCTTGCTCTATTCTGGACGAGCCCGGGGTACTTTTTGGAGGGCGGCGAGTCGGAGGCTGTCTAGGCCCGCTGCTCGACAACTTGAAAGAAGATATTGTATCTTTAATGTGAACCAGAAAAGTTGTGCAGATCGCTCTTCATTGCTCATACTGGCGCCAGGACAAGGTAAAAATGTCGCTAGGAGCGGAGAGAAGGATGGAAAACCGGCTGAGACAACTGGAAGCCATGATCAAAGAGCCGCGGTCTGCGATCAACTTGGAAAGTTTGCTGGTAAGTTCACCGTCATTTTCATGAATGTTTAATGCGCCTCGAAGATCCGTTGCCTAGTGATACGAGGGGGGGAAGGAATAGCACGCGAACAACTTAACCGCGATGGTGCTTTGCAGAAACGAACGTGTAGTGAACGTCACAATGAGCTGTGAGGAAGCTCTGTGTGCACGTTGATGTCTCTTTTATTGTGTTCGGCATTTGTACACAAACATTGCTCCCGCTTCCTACTTTCCTTGTCAACAACTTGCGGGAAACCTCAAGTCCCAATCTCCGCGTATAAAACTATTCTCATGTACACTTGCCATATTAGAAAAACTCTGCTGCGTCAAATTCTGAGTTCATCTGTTGCCTCTGTCCAAATATAGTAATATTGTTGGCCTGCAACATGACAATTTCGTAATTCCCCCTTCCTGCTGTTGAAGGGTTGTTTGGTTCTGGAAGCAGACTCTGCCATTAACTCGCGTGCAGGTGAAGGCATTGGACACATAGTTCGGAGCGCAGGAATATTTACAGGCTGATCTAATCTATCCAAATTAAATATGTTTTTTTTGGTCGACTGATAGATGCCAGTTCAGTGTGTGTTTGTGGGCACGTAATGGTCCATAACACGGCAGAACAGTTGATGCCTAGTGATAATATCTGGCGAGCCTGTCAATCGGTTTATTTCTGATTTAGCTAATGCCTCCTTTTGGGGACATCACATTATACAGAACATTACGTTTACATTACCATATATCTATGTATTCGTAATTGGAAATAATTTGAAAAATTTCTTTATTTGCAAACAATAGAAGTCAATTTTAATGATTAACATAGTTTTTTCAGTGATTGACACTGTCTGGAGCAATATTTATGTGATCTAGGCTAATACAATTAAATCAGGAGTTACAACTACCATACAGAATACAACTACCAATCAGGAGTTTGTAATCAGTATTTAAAAAAAAAAGGAATTTAAGGGTTAGTTCACCCAAAAATGAAAATTCTGTCAGTATTTACTCACCCTCATATTGTTCCAACCACGTAAGACCTTTGTTCATCTTCGGAACACGAATTAAGATATTTTTCATGAAATCCGAGAGCTGGATCACTCCTGCATACTAGTCCATAGACTTCTTGAGGAATTGAAACTTGCTGGCCTCAAAGTTATTAAAGACATCATTAAAATAGTCCAAGTGGCTCAATCTTAACTTTATCAAACGACGAGAAAACTTTTTGTGCGCAAGAAAACAACACAAATAATGACTTTATTTCAACTATTCATTTACTTCTTTCTCTGCCTCGAGTCAGGTTACTAGTTTAATAGCGTAAGCTTCTGTTATTGTACGTCACACGCATCACACACGACCAGCATCGGCCAATAGTGAGCCTACGTGTGACGTAGCTCTACGCTATCATACTACGTTTACTGACTAGAGGCTCATAGAGAAAGAAGTGAGTAGTTGAAATAAAGTCGTTATTTTTGTTTGTTTTTGCACACAAAAAGTATTCTCGTCGCTTGATAAAGTTAAGATTGAGCCACTGAAGTCACTTGGACTATTTTAGCGATGTCTTTAATAACTTTTCGAGGACTCCTCGAGTATCGAGGAGTGATCCAGCTCTCAGGTTTCATAAAAAATATCTTAATTTGTGTTCCGATGATAAACGAAGGTCTTACGGGGTTGGAACAACATGAAGGTGAGTAAATACTGAAAGAATTTTCATTTTTGGGTGAACTAACCCTTTAACACTTTTATTCAGCAAAAACCATTACATCGATCAAAAGTAAAATAAAGATTTGTAGGTAGAATTTCTATTTCAAATAAATGGTCTACTTTTGATCTTCATATTCATCAAAAAATCCTGAGGGAAAATTGTATCACAGTTCACACAAATATATAAGCTGCACAACAGTTTTAAACTTGGTAGTTATTTAAATGTTTCTTGAGCAGCAAATCAGCATATTCAAATGATTTCTGAAGGATCATGTGAAATGGAACTGGAATAATGATGCTGAAAATTAAACTTTGCCATAAACTACTTGTAAAAATATAGTAAAATATAGAAAGCAGTCATTTTTAATTTTAATTCAGTCATTTCGATTTTAACGTATTGCAGTTTTACTATATTTTTGGTTAAATAAAATGCAGCCTCGGTAAGTATTAGAGACTTATTTAAATAAAATAAAATGACTGGCCTCAAACTTTTAAATGGCAGTGTAATCCATTTAAATGGCAATTTGCAGAAAATAAATAAATAAATAAAATAGGACCGAAAATATGCATTTTGACAGCACTGGTTAGGATATTTGCTGATGCCAAACACAAAATAATGACACACCCTTTTCTCATCAACCATTAGTTGGACCAACAGATAATGTCGAGCTGGTTGTGTTGCATAAACTAAACTAGTCCATGATTTGAAAGCACAAATGTTCACACTGTTCAGAGAAACCAACCTACCAATGGCTTACTTATTATTTTGGATAAGAGAATCTATTTGCATGCATATAAGAAAGTATTTTAAAATAAAAAGCCTTAACTTTTAACATGTGCATGTGTGCTTGAACATCATAGCAGATGCATCATGTTGGTGTAACACTTACTGCTCTCAGTGAAGTGATTCATATTAGGCAGTCAGGGAGACTGTTCTTTTGGTACTGGATGTTCTTGAATGTATAAACTGATCTAAAAATGGCATGTCAGATCTGTTTGACTGATTATAGTTAATCTGGTCCAAAAGCAAACAATACTCGGCAGATGCTCGATGAAGCATCATTTGACTCACCGTATCTGGGCCTGAGTTTGGTCTAAACTCTGAGAAGCTGTCTGAGAGAAAGATATGGGTCATCTTTTCTGAGGGAATTAGTGTTTATCAAAGAGATGTGTGTGTGTGTGTGCATGCGTGCTGTCAATTCTGTGAGTTTTGGTGACAGAGTTTCTCCATTGCTGAAGAATGTGTGTGTTTCCTGAGAAGGAGATGAGCAGAGGAGAAGTGGGAAGCAGTGAGTGGGAGTGAACAAGCCTCACTCTCTTTCTCTCTTTCTGTCTTTCTCTATGCCATTTATAGCCCAAGTCCCTCTCTGGTTAAGCTCAGGGCAGGAGATAGCTCTGTTTGAGGGTGTTTAGCTGTACCGAGAGGCTTCTAGAAAACGCATTACGCCGATATTTTCATTGCTTCTTTCTCTCTATTTGCTCTCACTCCCTCATGAACTCTTTAATTTGTCATTAATTTTAGCCCAAGCTGATTACTGTCAGTTATCCAGCATAATGCGATTGGTTTCAGGCCTTTAAAACAAGCATTTCAGCCTGAGATTATAGCCGCTTTGGCCAGTCTGTGTGTGTTTGGCAGAATGATGCCAAGTTAATCCATCAGGAATTTTCCAAGTTTGTTTCCAAAAGCACTTTTCTATTTAGTTCAAAGGATGCTCCGATCGATCGGCCACAGATTGGTATCAGCTGATAATCTCGTTATATGATTAAATTGGTAATCACTAAATTTGGCTGATCTCACAAATTTGATGACGTAAAAAAAAAAAAAGTATTAACTTGCTGTCGACGTGCATGTAAACAGTATACAGATTAGGTTTTTGAGCCACATTCTGCTTTGTAGGGTAGGGTAGATCTTTGAAAAAGCTTGGCTAAAGCTATAGGACTTCCTGGATTTGTTCTCATCTCAATCATGATTTTCCAACGTCATTTGAAAGTTTAACCAATGGAAACTGGTTCTCAAATATGGTTGGTACGGGGTACAATGTTTCAAGACCAATCGGACACTGTTTTACAGCTGTAGTGTGCATACGCAATCATGTGTCAATTGAAAAAGAAATTGTATAATATGACTTGATGTGATGCATGGTTTTTTTGTATTTATGATATTTGTATTTTGAAAATTTAATTTTTGCCATGAAAATAGCCTCTATCCATCTATTCATCTAACAAACATGTTTTTCTTATATCCAGTAAAACGCTGTTGACTTTATTTTTGGACTTATGATAAATCCTTGGTTTCAAATGCCATAACTTTTGATTGCTTTGAGATATCAACACAAAACTTGGCCCCAGCTGACATGATTGCAAACATTTTAATGATTTTACAACCCGTCATACTTTGTAATAGTCATCATGCCAAGCATGAATAATAACAAAATAAATCGCATCACATTTTCTGGGGTTTTCTCAGCTATGTTGTAAAATAAGAACCTCCAAATGTGATTGAAATCTATTTTCTTACAAATTTGAAAGGTTAGATCAAATAAGACCATGTACTTTATGATAGCTTGTTTTTTGTAGAGTTATAAGCCATTACTTTTAAGGATGCCACTTGAAATCACGCAAAATCATTCATCAAAATGGGTAAGGTGTTAACAGTGACAGTCAACAGAGAGCTTACATATCACTTATGTCAAGTATGAATGATCAGGATTGGTATCAGCTGATCACGACGATGATGGCCAAGAAAACAGAAGTCAGTAAATCCTAATCGGAGCATCCCTACTGTAATGTAAGCTAAGCTTCCTTTTTTTACTGTGATTTATTACATTGTCTTACTGCCATGTTGGCCCATTTTCACCCTGAACTTCAGTCCCACAAAACTGCTCCCACATGATGGCACCAAAAGTTCTTGAATTTCACGTACAGTACACAATGCACAGTGAAATGGCTGTAAAATATAGACAAAAAAAACTTTATGGGCCCTTTCATACACCTGGCGCCAAGCGCCAAGAGCGATGCAAGTGTTTTTTTTTTTTGTTAGTTTCAGCCCGACGCAGATATTATTTCCACGTCCTGCGCCACGTTGTTTAAATAGCAAATGCATTTTTTGCGACCATGGTCCGTGGTGGTCTGAAAACGAGGTGTGTTCAGGCGCATGGTTGTTGTGTTGCTATTTTTTGGATTATAATGTAAACGATTATTATTGTGTATATAAAGATATGGTGGAATCCTGCTTTGTCCTGTACATGGTCTGCTTGCGCACTTTAACGTACAAGCTGATCCGTTTCCTCTCGCTGGAGTAGCGTT